TATAAACATGGTTGCACATATATCACTGTGGTATGATGCTTTCAGTTTTTCTGGGAATATGCCTAGAAGTGGAATAGCTGGGTCAAACAGTGCTTCCAGTCCCAGCTTTCTGAGAAATCTCCAGACTGACCTCCACAAAGGTTGCACCAGTCTACACTCCCAACAGTGCAGGAGAGTTTCTTTTTCCCCACAACCTCTCCAGCATTTGTTGTTGGTGGTTTTCTTGATCCTGGCCATTGTTTCAGGAGTGAGATGAAATCTCAGTGTGGTTTTAATTTGCATTTCTCTAATGACTAGTGATGCTGAACATTTTTTCATATATTTATTTGCTGTTTGTATTTCTTCATCTGAAAATTGTTTATTCATCTCCGATGCCCATTTTTGGATGGGGTTGTGAATTTTGGGGGTCTGATTTTTTTTTAATTCTTTGTATGTTTTAGACAGAAGTCTTTTGTCTGAGGGACAGTTCACTAGAATTCTTTCCCAGTTTGTGGGTTTTCTTTTCACTATGTTAGAGATTACTTTCTATGTGCAGAAACTTTTTAATAAGATGTGATCCCAGTTATTGACTCTAGGAAGTATTTCCCATGCGGTTTGAGTCTTGTTCATGAATTCTCTACCTACCCCTAAGTCTTCAAGTTTTTTTACCCAATTTGTCTTCCAATAGATTTAATGTCTCTGTTTTAATATTTACATTTTGATCCTTTTAGATTTTATTTTAGTATATGCTGATAGACATGGGTCTGGTTTTAGTTTTTGGCATATGGAGAGCCAGTTTTTCTAGCATCATTTATTAAAGAGACTGTCATTCTTCCAGTGAATCTGCTTGGCTCCTTTATCAAAGATAATGTGGTTGAGTGTGTTTGTAGTTGTGGTTGTATCTTCTAATCTATTCCATTGGTCTTCGTCTCTGTTTTGATTCCAGTACCATGTTGATTTTACTGAAGTTGCTTTGTAGTATAACTTCAAGTCAGGGAGTGTGATGCCACCTGCCTTGCCTTTGCTGCTTAGAACTGTCCTTGTTATTCTAGGTCTCTTCTCACCCCAAATGAATTTTAGGGGTGATTTCTCGAGATCTATAAGGTATGTTGATGGTATTTTTATTGGGATTGCATTGAATCTGTATAACAGTTTTGGGAGAATGGCCATTTTCACAATATTTATTCTTCCTATCCATGAGCAAGTGATGTCTTTCCATTTTCTGAGATCATCTTCAATTTCATTTTTCAATGTATTACAATTTTCCCCGTACAAGTCTTTCTCTTCTTTCGTGAGAGTAATTCCTAAATACTTCATTTTCTTGGTTGGTAGTGTGAAGGGTGTGGCTTCTCTTATTTCTGGGAGACACTTCTTCCAGCTGCCTTATTTTTATCTACTTCATTGTTGTTTCTGTTTATGGCACTGCAGGTCCTTTGCACTCAAGGATTTATGTGCCAGTATGGCTTCCTCACCGTGTGCCATCTACAGAGCTCCTGTGCAGAGGAAATTCTCCCCTCATGCCAGGTTTCCAAAATCTCAGCTCAATGCATACAGGAAGTTAAACACAAAGAAACTAGGACATTCCTAACTTGGAAATGAAAATTTGATGTATTTTTCAATGTAAAAAGGCATTCCAAATGAAACCGTCACATTTCAAAGTGTGAAATGTTATTGACAGAGGCATGGTTCATGTGAGATTGATTGGAATTGGAAGAAAAGAAAACTCATTAGATACCCGAAGAGTCTGTATCTTTATAAAAGCAAGGAGGAATTCTTCCCCAAACTGAGAGCTCTCTGATAACATTTCATCTATCCCTTGAGGCAGCGGCCTAAACATTTCTGAAATCTTCTCTTAAGGAACTGGCCCCCACCCCATCCTGCCTTGTGCTTTTGCCCTTTAAAGATCAGAAGACAAGGGAAGTTTCCCAGCTTCCATCCCCTGCCTACAACTGCCCTCATTAGACATAGGAAGACGGATGTTTCTTCTTCTGAGGGAAATTATTGCAGGACACAAGCAAACATATACTCCTTGGAAAAAGACAGTGTAAGTCTGAGAAATTAAGGGATGCAGAAAGTAGAACAGCCTGTGACACAAGATGGGGAGCTTCCTCAGTACATGAGAGAACGCTGGGCAAGCTTTCATCCGTGTCTTGTTTTCAGTAAGTGTGACCCATGGCTTCCCATCATTTCCTGGTGACACTGCATAGAATGTGCCTGTGCTCTACCCCGCCGCTCTTATTGCAGGAGCCTAAGTGTTGTCACATTGGGTGGCTCATGATGTCTGAAAACACAGAGCAGCCACAGATAGCACTTCCCCTAATAATAAAACCCTCAGAACTAAATAAGAGGTTTCAAAAAGCTCTGCCATACTCTTGGCTCAAAGGAAAAGCACAGGTCTCCAGCCTACCACGTGGTGCCATGAAAGCTGGTCCCATTCTGTTGTTCACAGACCAATCTGATCTTCCCTGTAGCACTGTGCTTCTGTCCCTTTTTCTTTGCTCTAAATAGGTCTCTTCCCATCTTCCCTTTTTCTTCAACTAAATCTTGGTGCTGTTTGCTTAGCTTTAATTTATATTATCATTGAAGTGAGCTCCCATCTATATAAAGCATCACAAAGTACCTCGGAAACCCTGCATTCAGTGAATAAGATTGTAAAACCAAGGGTGGAGAGGCCCTGGGACTCAAGACTTTGAGGTGCCAACACCAAGGGAGTCACACTTTGTACACCATGGTCTCCACTGCCATGAGAACAGAACCTTCGGCTGCTGGGGAGAAGCACCACTTGGCTGCAGACTCTCAGCACATCCTGGCCTCAGGAAGTCACCAGGTCCTTCCTCCCCAGGCTGCATCCAGAGCTCCTGTCTACAGCTCCTAGTCCATCTTGCTTCACAGGTCCCAGAGGATGTTTTTAACCCAATGTAGACTCCAAGTTCTTTCATATCTCTGTTTAACATGAACTGCTTTTGAGAAACTCTGCTATGGAAACGGCTGTGTGTGCAGCTGGCGAAGGCTGGGGTGGGGTGGGGTGGGATGCACAGACCTTCATGTTGAGGAATAAGCTGTGCATCTACTGCTGCATTCTCAGAGGAAATCAACGCTGTCAGTTGCCCTTTCCTCTACCCTGTTCTACGTGTCCTGGCCAAGCATTGTGGTGTGAGAAGGAGCCCACTTCTGCATAAGATCTCAATGCTCACTAACTTTTGAGAGAAACCTGTGTGACCATTTTCAAAATTTATTCTATCTTGATAACCAATGGTTCTTATGTCACAGAATAGGAAGTGCCCTTGATGTTCTGCATCTGGAATATGGGCCCGTGAGTGCTCTGGGGAGCAGCTGTAGCCTGTTTGCTGCTCTGGGCTAGTTGCCAGCTGCATGCATGAGTTAGTTCCTGCAGCTCAATGAGATATTCAGGGATGATATCTGTGATTCCTGGTGGGTGTCTTTCTTTTAAAGTTCACTGTCAAGCATTGGTTCTCTCTCAACCTTCAGTCCTACAGTTCTTGCTGGAGCATGAGTGGATTAGTTTGGGTCGTTGTTAAAGGAGTTGCACATGAGTATTGGGTCTTGTTTTCTTTTTTATGCTTAGTTGTGAGCAATGAATTCATTGCTTCCTTCATGGAAGGATAGAATGATTTTTTGGAAGGAGCATCAGCTGTCCTGATCAGTCAGGTCCTTTCATTTTCTTCCTGTTTGATCTAACTCAATGACTGATGCAGAAATTTCTTGTTTTGCCTTTTATTTTAATGTGGGGTACAAAGAAAGAGCTTCTGCAGAGAAAATACTCACTGTGACTCTGATATAAATAGTACTGCTTCTGCAGTCATGCAGGCCTTTGTTACATTTGGAAGAAAATTTCTATAATAAGTCACAAAAGAATACAGAAAACAAAGTCTGTGCAATCTAATTGACTTCAAAGCTGTGTGTAAATTGTACAAATTTGTCATGATAAGTAGACACTTATACCTTTGTTAAGTGGAGAGCAAATGAGTCTAAAATTTGCCTGAACTGTGAAGAGGTGGAGGAATTTTTACGCAATGGGTACAGACCTAAATGTGAAGTAAAATTCTTTGTTCAGCCTGTGATGAACTATACTACATATTTTCAAATACTCATCAAGTTTTTGTTAATACACCCTATAATTTACTGAAATACTTCAAGAATGAATTCTCTGTTCATTACCAATAGAGTCAATTTGTTTATAATCCATTGAGGATAAAGATATTGGTACCACTGTGAGTAATAAGCCACAAATATTTTAAGCTTAATTCATTTTTAATTATGCAAAGAGCTGAATTGTCATGCTTAAAAATATAGAACTGTGTACTATATTAAATGGAATTCTTTGTCTATATATTCATTTAAAATTTTTATTTTCTTCCATTGTTCTCTAAATGTTTTATGTGAACAATACCAAAGTTAATAATTTCCCCTGAACTTTGTAACTATTTATTGAAGCATTATTTTTATATTGATCAAAATTAGTTCTTATATATCATACCATATTTGTAATACCAAATTCTTGTACACATTTCCTAAAGTATCTTTAAATTGGTATTACGGAGTTTTCAAGTAGACCATAAAAGTAGATCCCTTGGCTAGCACTTACCAGGCAGTTAGATAATAATGAACATTATAGCTCATAGAAATTTTTCTTGTTCTAATTCTCAAGGGGGGAACATACCAATAAGCTCGTATCTAGAAATCAAATCGCTGGCTTCTCATAATTGCAGTAAAATTTGCCAAGTGATTTTCTACTGTTATAGTAGCCCTACAGTATGTGGCACATGCATTAGAATTAGACCGACTTTTACAGGTGGCTTTGGGGAGAGTGACCATTGTGCATTGCTTCGTGTTTCTATGACATCCCTGTGAGCTCAGGCTGCAGGATCCAGTACAGCTGTCTGAGAATGAAATCTGACCTTTGTAAGCTAATTTAATATGATTAGTTTCACACATTGCATGAAAGAATCAAGAACTGTTCCATACTTACTTACTAAACAACCAAGTTCCACAGTAAAGTGTCAGCTTCTGTGTGTCCCACGAGTGCCCCCACAATGACCCAGATGTCCCTCTCTGTGAATCAAAATAAATGGACTAAAAACTGCATAACCAAGGGTGAGAAATTCTTTAACATTTATGACAGTGGAAAGAGTCACTAAGGAGCAACTTATAATCAGAGAAAGGAGACAGTCTATCCAATAAAACACAATAAAGCAAAGCATCAGAAGGAGAATGCTTTGGGCAGCTTTGATTTCAGGAGGAGCTGTGTAGAGGAACTTGGCATTCTGCAGATGAAGAATCTGCTGGTGGTGTTTGTGGAGAACCCGCACCATGTAGCCGCTGGCTGCACCCATGATGCCCTGAAACCCTGCATCCCGCAGCACCATGCAGGTGAGAAAAATCCACTTTACCTTCTTACTTTCTGGAAGAAAATAGCAGTACCTTTCACTGTTACTAACTTTTGATGAGTTGGTGCTGATATTTGTGATGGAGTGGAGTAAGCTCATGCTTATCAAAGAGTTGAGACTCCAAAAATAGAGAAGGACAAGGAGGACATAGCGTGCTGACCTTGGCTTGAGCCTCCTCCATCCTGAGTGTCTGGGACAGATGGTGACCGCCTGGACCACCGTGAGGAAGCTGCTGGTACAGATGGAGAGGCCCCGGGACACCCTCTCCATATAAACAACAATCTTGCAGCCTGTGTCATCTAGGAGGTTTCTCACACCCAAAGCTGCTAAGGTACCTGGCACTCCCTTGGAAAGCAGAGTCATGGTGTTTGTAACAGCCAAATGGACGAGAATAAGGTATATAGATTTCTGCTCTTTGCCTGCAAATATGAGCACGTACTTCCCCAACACAAAGATGTTCCCTGTAGTGCCAAGTCCAGTTAGCGAGGCAGAGATTGTTCCCTCGACAATGTTAGCTGGCATTTCTAACCTAACAGGCAAGAATGGATTCCACACATGCATAGCTTTCTAATAAAAGCTTCAATAATAATGACAAGTATGTTTCTGTAACACACAGTTTGACAGCAATTTTCTGGCCTGTGAGAGACAGCACTGCCCTGTAAAGATGCACATTCTGTTGAAAGGACTGTTTGTCTTTTGCTGCTCACTCTTGCAGGTCATTCCGGATGAATTCTAGTGCTGGTCTGACGACTCATATTCACAACTGCAAATTAATAAGACAAGTTTCCTTTACCTCCACAGTTGTAAAAGCTTTCTACTTGTTCAAATTCTTGTATACTCACCTATGTTCAACAGAAACAAGCCTGAATTTAACCCCAAGTCTCCCCAAGAAGGATGGCTTCCCATGCTGGCATTTAAGTCTATCAGATTCCCATTAACCAATTTCAAAAGACCATGGCTGGTATGGAATGATGTCACTCAATGAGTGCCATCATCACATCTGACACCTGTGGTGTGACCATGGAAACCATGTTTCTGTTAACTGTGCAGCTGCTTCTTCCTTGTCTTTTTTCCCCAGTCAGTGCACTAACAGTAGTGCTTCTTTGGTCTTTCAGTTAAAGCTGCTGGTGTGTCTGTTTCATAGTTGGAAAGAATTGTATTTTTTCACAACTAGGAGCTTCAGTGGCACTTTGTCACCGAGAAATTGATATCACACTGTTTCCTCTACTTCCTACAGCAAACTAAGGGAATCTGTTAGACTTCTTCACACTAAAGGTCTCTAAGAAAATAAAGCACACGGAAGTAGGTTTGACCTCAGGATTGGCTTCAGCCGGTGTGATGACTGCAGGACACCAGTTAATATTTGAACTTGCCTGCCTAAAAAAGGGTTTTGATTTGCTATGTCTAAAGAAATGCATTGCATTCAGTTACATAAATGATGCTTCATTTGGTTGAATTAACTTATACTTCAGGAAGTTTACAGCATTTATCTCAGGTCCAATTTTCAAGAGTTAAAAGGTGAAATTAGTGCTGTTTCCTTCATAGCACTAGGATAAAGTTAAAGTGAATTATTTCTTGTTATTTAAAATTGAAGCCTAGGAATTTCATGGTGAAAATTCTCTAAAAAGCAACTGCAATTTTTTTTCTTAATAATGATTAATTGTCCTCCTATTAAACATATGTATAATAAACTAAGTTAACTGGCATGCTGTATTACGTGTTAGGTTAAGGAGACTTATATCTTCCTGCAGATAGTAAACTGAAAGGTAAGGCATGAGTGGAGTATATAACACAGTGAGAAATGACACAGTGAGAAATCACACAGTTAGTCCATATTGAGAACAGAATTTCACCAAACATGAAACATCCACATTTTATAAAAGGCTATGATGCTCACAGAAATGTTGTACAAGGGAAATCTGAGGAAAAATAGCAGAATTTTTCATAGAATCTCAAAGGCATCTACAGCTTCCTGAATATGCAAGGCACTCAAAGAGGAATCATTATGCAAAGGCAAACACACCAGGTTCCTGGTGCTGTCAGAGCCAGGGCACAGGGGCAGAAATGGCTTGGTATGTCTGCAGTAATGATTTCTGGACCTGCTGCTCCTTTTTTACCTGAGGTGCTGATATTTTAATGATCTCAGGATGAGTGAGGATCCTAAGGCTCACAGATCTTCTGAATAACTTCTTACTCAGCCAAAGATTGATGAGTTTTTAGCTTCTGAGAGAATATTTTAAGTGTGAATAAATGTAACCTGTGAGAGCTACTCACCTTCCAAAGTGTGGTGTAGTCAGTTCTGTTATGTGTCTCCCATGGAGGTGTTTCTCCAAATCTTGTTTTGCAAGGTGAGCCTCCCGTCATATTTATATATGTTTAGGTTTAGTGAGCTCTTGTCTATGGTAAGCCCTGTCCTGGAGTTTAATTTTTAGTACTGTTACCCTGTCAAGGAGAAGGAAAACCTCTGCAGAATCCTAGTCCCTGGAGTACACCTTTCCTTCTACCATCACAATCACACTGTTGTTTAGTTCAGAAGTTTTCTGAGGCTCAGTTGGGCCTTAATTATTTTAAGAGAAGATAGCACAGTGACAGAGTGAAGATCCAGCTGTGTTACTGTGTTTAGGGACACCTGCTTTTCAGATCCTCCCCTTGGTTCCTAAAGTTCCAAGCTGTGAGGTAGAAGGGGGAGCAGTTTCTCAATCACGGAATGAATCATTTCTCTCTCCTTCTCAAGGCAGTGAGCAGGGATAATCACTGGGCTTTCTGAGCACATCTCAGCCATGCACACGGGCAGGATTAAGTCATCCTGCTTTATCAGTCTATGTGCTCTGCCGATTTACATCCCACCACCAGATTCCACAGCTTTCTGTGTCTGGCGACTGGACCAGCACTTGTGGATTCTTGATAGTGTCCACGCCAAGCAGTGAGAGGGAATCTGTTCTTCCCTATGGCTGAAGATATCAAATATGTTTAAATACTTTCTGTCCATTTGTATTTCTTCTGTTAAACGTATATACAGCTTATTTGCCTGAGTAGTGTTTTGTGGGGCAGTTGGAGATTTTTTTGAGCTACTTACATATTTTGGACATCAATCCCGTGACAGAGAAATCAGGATGGGTTTTGATGTGTTTTAAGGCTCCAAGGTCATGGATGAATTTTCAGTTGATTTTGCATAGGGTGGCAGGCAGAGATCATGTTCAGTCCCTGCATGTGGATATTTATTTTTCCCAGCAACTTTTCTGAAAGAATCTATGTCTCTCACTTTTGTTTTTGTCTCTTCACTGACAATCAGGTGGCAGAGCCTGGGAGCATCCATTCAGCCCTTTGTTCAGGCTCAGCAGTCTAAATGCCCATTTTGGGAAATATGTTGTTTTTTTTTTATTATTTAAGAGGAAAAAAAGAAAAACACAAAACAAAACAAAGCGGTGTAAGGGTACACATAATACAGAACTACAGAAAAAAAAACATAATAGTAAGACATCACCTGTTAATATATTACATATTATCATCTTGAAAATAGTTGCTCAAATCACAGTATCAAAGAATACAAGGTGGACATTCAAACAGGGAGACTGCAAACAGCTGTGTTCAATGATCCAAAAACATTGATATAGTCAGCTATTTAACACCCCTAAATACATTTGCTGTTATATCCGTTAGAGCTCTTTTTCTTTTTTTTTTCTTTTTTCTTTTTTTTCCCCTGTCTTTTTTACAACAAAATTTACACATTTTGGATTTTATTATTCTTTAGTGCTTATTACTTTTTTGTGGGGGAGAGAATACAGTCAAATATGGCAAAACAAAGCTGTCAGTCAAAACCAAGGATAGACATAGCACATGGTGTAGAACAGAGTACAAGGTTATCAACAATGGTTATCAACGTTGTCTCTTGTTTCCTTAAAAAGAATTGTCTATCTCATTAGATATTATAAAGTTGGACAAAACAGTAGAGAACAAGACCAATAAAACTTAGGCATTGAAAACATTACAGGACTTCCAAAGAAGAAAATAGTCAAACCAGAATGGGCATCTTAGTGAATCTTATTGCCTTCAAAGTAGTTGCCTATATCTTCAAACTTGATACTATCATACAGAATGGAACAGAGTCTAATCAGTCAAAACAAGATCGTGGGAGTATTACAGAACTTCAAAACAAGTTGTTTTATTACTATGTTTTGGTTGTGTGTTTTGAAGTTTTGTATTGTGATATCTCTAATATGCTGTGTCTACTCATGGTTTTTGAGTTTTCTAGGTATTTGTTTTTTCCATACAATATTTAGGAATTGTTTCTATTTTTGTGAATAATGTCACTGTAATTTATGATGGCACTACCTTGATTCTGTGCCTGCTTTTGATAAAATGATTATTTTCACAATATTCATCCTGCTGGTCCATGAGCATTTGTGGCCTTTCTATTACGTGGTTTCTTTTAAATTTGTTGCAGTGCTTCAGAATATGCATTGCAGCTGTCTCTTACTAAACTGGATTCAGCTTATGTCCAGACATTTTTTGAAGATATTGAAAATGGAATTACTTGCTTAATGATTTTTTAAATTTTAATAGTGAATAAAGGATGTACTGATTTTTATGTTGATTTTAAAATTGGGCTCATTGCCAAATACGTTTTATCTGATGGAGAAGTCTTCTCTTGGAAATTTTAGAATATTCTAGGAAAAATATCATCTACCCATCAGGATAGTTTGATTTCTTTCTTAAATATTTGCCAAGTGTTTTTGTTTTTTGCACAATAGTTCAGGCTAAGAAGTAAAGTAGTATATCAAATAGCAGTGAGGAACCCTTGTGATCATTCTCATATGAGCAGAAATGCTTTTTTTTCTGTTCTGTAACATCTTGATGGTGGATGAACTGTAGTACACTGAGGTAAGAAACTCCTGTACCTTGTCTCTGCAATACTGTTTAGTTTGAAAGAATGTAGAATTTTGTTCAAAGCTTTTATCTTGACTATTGAGATAATTAGATTTTCATATCAAAGTGATGCATTGATTGCTAATTTGCATATGTTGAATTGTTCTTGCATCATAAACTTGATCATGATTCATGGTATTTTACTGTTAGATTATAAATATTTCATTGATTTTTACATTTGTGCTTACTTGCAACCTCTAAAACTCTAGTAGTAACATAATTGATAAAATGCAAAGAACATATCTGAGTTAAACAATCACACTGACTCATAGCTTTCCTAGTGCTCTTTGGTTATGCTTTGTTATAGACAAGTCTATGTATTGGCTAATACAAAGCTGCAACCTAAAATTTAGTGCACCATTTAAAGTTTAAAGATGTAAAGTATGTCCCAGAGAGAACACAGTATTTTAATCAAAGACATCACATCTGAAATTCAATCCTATTTTGTTATCAATATATTGAATGAATTTCCTGCATGTGTGAAATTTCAGTACTCAATATTTATTTTACATGTAAGATGTTAGTGAAAAAAATATAGTGACCATTTCAATTTTTATGTATAATTAAGTTTATTGGCACACCTGATTATCATATTC